GACGCTGATAATTATTTATTCAAGGAAATTGAACGAGCGATGACGACAATGACGACGAGGACCACGATGAGTAATGGTATTAGTGACAATTAATGGCCAATTGCTACCGTAATTCCCACACCTGAGACCCAGAATCCAATTATCCCCCCCCCAGCTCCCACTTGCACCCTCCCCTCACCTCCTATACCTCCACACATACGCGCCTCCACCCACCACATTCCAATCCCCCCCCCCACACCTCCATCACCCACCCACCCTTCCTCCATCCCCCATTACCCCCCCCCCACCGCTCCCCCCACCCACACTTCCCACCTCGCCCCCCCCCTCCCTCCTCCGCAACCTCATTCAAAATTCGTTACGGATGTGGCGAAAATTGTATTCCGTGCGCGCACGCAAGTGCGCGCGTGAGTGAAGCTGTGTGGAGCGGTGGCGCAGTGGTTAGCGCACTGCGCTAGGAACCCGGCGACCAGAGTTCGATCCCCGCGCTCCCGGCCAACGCCAGTGACGATTATTTGAACCGATCCTAGGCCTCCCCTAGGTCGACTCGGCGTCAAATGAGCACCTGGTGAGATGTGTAAACATCGAGACAAAGGCGGGCGGGCGGGCGTGGTGCTGGCCATCCACCCCGTCGTGTGTCGTGCTGATCTTCATTGGTGCTCGCTAACAGCACTTGTCTCAACAGTCTGTCGAGCCTATACGGGGGGGGGGGGGGGTCTTTGGCAATGGCGCATAATAACGTGATGGTTAATCTATTTGTCGATTTTCTAAAGACAATTACGATTGCCCTCATGGAATCGTGCGCGTTTTGATCGATTCGTTTTTATTTACGTTTAAAGTGTTTCCTGTCATTATTATACTATTGCACCCTGAATGGATTATTGGAGCACGGTTGAGCCTGAATAGTACTTGGATAAACCAGGTGTTATAGGCTGCGGGCCGAAGGTGTCGACAGTGGGCATTACAACAAAAACCCGGCGTTGTACTGTGAGCCTATGTTCCTCGCCTTCCCCCAACCTGCACCGATCACTCGCACCGGATGGCGGGCACACAAACACCACAGCCGTCCCTCGGGCTACGCCGGATTGGGGCGACCGCTCCGGGCCACCCCGCGTTTCGCCGTCAGTGTCAGATGTCATTCTTCAGGTTTGTATCTTAGGGACCTTTTTGCTAATATCCAATATGATATATTATTTATCAGAGCATGTGTTTGCCTGCCTATTTTGCCTCAAGCATGTGTGGTTAATGCCGACTTGATGCCTTGACAAGGGTGTCTATTTAGCGTTTGAGAATCTTAACATCTCTTGTTTTATTGACAGAAAGGTTAAAACCTATTCTCATTTTTCATCACTGCAGATTTAGTTTGAAGGCGTTGGGGGGGGGGGGGGGTCATGCGTTATGGGGGTGCCCGGGGGCCCCGCAGCCACCGCCTATGGACGGCCCCTGGCCACAACCCAGCGCTTTACTTATTCATTCCCTTGTTGACCCTGCAGTGCTTCGCTGAGTCTCGTGACCTTATTTTCTAGAAGGCCCTGGCCACGTGTTCACACCAGTGCAGGGGCTCGCCAACCAAACGTAACAATGAGAGCCTTTCTCGTTTGTTTCTTTGTTCGATTCCAGTAACAAACTCGAGACGGTATTCCAAGAGCCGCGACGCACTGTGTGGTGAATACGTCAGACGCGGATGGTTCCTTACTAAATAACGACTCGCGAGGCAGCATCCCTTCAAGAGACACCGCATGCCGCCCCGAAGCCGCAAGTTGCCGAGCCATGCAGTAGCGGGACGATGATTGTGCTTTGTGGAATTCCAATGGGGAAATTTGCGGTGACATTTTTTTTTTGGGCCCGCGACTCCGGCACGGACAGTGGCCCGGCTCTTGCGAATGTCGCCACGGGATATTTAACGTCGCACGCGTGACGCAGACGGCATATTTACGGCCGTTAATGGCACCACACACACCACGCCGCAGCGTTCTCCCGGGGCGGAAGCCGGAGTTCGAACCGTGACTGAGCTGCGACAAGCGTTTCCCAGGGAAGTTTCGAGAGCATTTTGTTGAACCAGATGAGAACTCGCGAAGCCAGGGTGACACTCGTTGGTGTCAAAGTGATTTGGCCGGTGGGGTCATGACGACATCGTCATCAGCTCAGGGGGTACGGCAATCGGTGAGGTGGGGGTGTCCCAATATTCGCTTTGTCTCGCGAGGTCGCACCTAGAGGCTGTTCTATAGCACGCCTCTTCTTGCCCTACATTTTCAGTTTTCAGTTTCAGTTTCTTTATTTTGGTATAGCTCTGTGAGCCATTCGGCTCTTGAATCGGGTACAACCACAACAAAAAAACAAAAACACGAACAAGAAAACATCTTAAAGTGACTATGTGTTGACTGTGCAAACAGAAAATTCATGAAAAAAACAGCAAAATATTCCTGAAAAAAGCACCGTGTACACCAACGCTATGTGAAAAAAATCCCAGTGGGATGCAAGTCAAACAACAACAACCACAAGAAAACTTAGATTAAGGCCATCAGTCTAACTCCGTACTACAGCAAAACAAACATGTCCAAACCAAAAAACGTTTTCGAAATCACCAAAAAAGTAAAGCCATAATTGCAACGTAACAGTGTTCGTTGTTCTTTACCACTGTTGTTGTTTAAAATAAATCTATATATCTCATCATGGTGGTCGTCAAGGGAGGCCCCAAGTCGTTGCCTTGGCCGCCAGGCGATGTGGGTGGGTGGGCAAGGCACCCCCTGGATCTGGGTCACCAAAGTGACAGAGAAGTGTTTTTGTGTTTTTTGTTTGTTGTGGTTGCACCCGATTCAAGAGCCGAATGGCTCACAGGGCTATACCAAAATAAATCAACTGAAACTGAAAACTAATCAAGTTCCGTCACCTTACAGAAATTAAGCGAATAGAATGGAGAGAGAGAGAGAAAAAATAGCCGTGTCACGTCACCAGGAACTCAACGCATTCGTCAACAACACTGCCAGAGCATTATTCAATAGGTGCATGTTTAGAGCAATGGCTCTTCATCACAGCACATAAATACCCATTGAACGTGCAACGTTGGGCCAACGTTGGGCCCCAACGTTCCATGTCTATGAGGTGGAGAGGCCAGAGGGATGGAGCGGATGAAGTTGGACGGGCCATGTGTCGGATAAGCCCTGACCTTGGATCAAGGTCAGGGCTTATCGACGTTACAAGCAAGTGCAGGATCTGGCAGAGGGAAGGAAGCGATGGCGAGGTGCGGTCTGCGATAACCATCACTGCCACTGGCACATTCCACGTGCGACGCAATGTAAAGGGCGAGAGGGGCGGGGTGGGGGGGGGGTTGGGCGAGAGGAGGGGGAAGCGGGGGGGGAATGGTGGGGGGTTGGGCGAGGCGAGGGGGGGGGGGTTGGGCGAGGCGAGGGGGGGGGGCGTGGGGGGGTTGGGCGAGGCGAGGGGGGGCGAGGCGAGGGGATTAAAACCGAGAATCGAAACGAACAGCCGCCGGAATCGTTTCAAGTAGAAGTCGATAGAATCGATGGAATCGATAGACGAGGCGTGAAGACGCCGCTCGATGTGCTGTGTGCGATGCGCGCTGCTGTCGCTGCTGCTGCGGGTTTCAGTGGTGGTGGTGGTGTCGTATAGAGAGGGAGTGTAGCTACTGCTGCTGCTGTGCGTGGCGACAGCGATGGTGCCGGGAGGACGCGCGTGCTTGCAGGCGGAGACGCCGTGAGCTGTCCGGTGGTGGTGATGATGATGATGCTGGTGGTGGTGGAGGAGTGATTCTGGTGGTGAGTTTATTCCATCGTGGTGGGGTCGTGTGTTGTTGGGTGGCGGGTTTTGTGGAATCGGGCTGTGTGTGTGTGTCGGTGTGGGGAGCGGTGGTGCAGCGGTTAGCGCTGCGCTGCGCTACGAACCCGGCGACCTGGGTTCGATTGCCGCTCACGGCGTCAGCAACGCCGGTGACGATTATCTGAACCGGTCCTGGGCCTCCCCTAGGTCGACTCAGCCTCAAAATGAGTACCTGGTGCGGTGTGTGAGCATCGCCACTGGGGAGACAAAGGCGGCCGGGCGTGGTGCTGGCCACCCACCCCCTCGTGTGCCACAGTGCCGGCCTTCATAGGTGCTCGCTAACAGCACTTGCCCCTACAGTCTGCTACAGGCTACACGGGGGATCTTTGCGTGTGTGTGTATACGGTGCGATATACGTGATGCTACACACCAGTTCTGTAATATACAATGTACGCACATTAAACACGAAATACATACAATACATATACTGTACATACACAATGGTACATGCTAAGCGTACGATACGTGCACAATATAGTAAAATATAGACACCGCATCCTTTACACAGTATACATACCGACTTAACCTAACATACGAATACTAAGCATACATTGTAAATATACAGTATCATTACGATGCACACACGGTATACAATACACTGCATGTGTGTCTCTCTCGTGTTAAAGCTGGGTGCAGGAGACACCGGTCTTGGAGACACCGGTCACCGAGACATCGGTCACTTGGAGACACCGGTCACTGAGACACCGGTCACTGAGAGGCACCGGTGACTGGGAGGAGACACTGGTCACTGAGACACCGGTCACTGAGAGACCGGTCACTGAGACACCGGCCGCCCGCTGTGAGGAGGACACACCTGCCTGGAGGACGACACACCTGCCTGGAGGAGGGGGACACACCTGCCTGGAGGAGGAGGACACACCTGCCTGGAGGAGGAGGACACACCTGCCTGGAGGAGGACACACCTGCCTGGAGGAGGAGGACACACCTGCCTGAAGGAGGACACACCTGCCTGGAGGACGACACACCTGCCTGGAGGAGGGGGACACACCTGCCTGAAGGAGGACACACCTGCCTGGAGGAGGAGGACACACCTGCCTGAAGGAGGAGGAGGACACACCTGCCTGGAGGAGGGGGACACACCTGCCTGAAGGAGGACACACCTGCCTGAAGGAGGAGGAGGACACACCTGCCTGAAGGAGGAGGAGGACACACCTGCCTGGAGGAGGGGGACACACCTGCCTGGAGGAGGAGGGGGACACACCTGCCTGGAGGAGGGGGACACACCTGCCTGGAGGAGGAGGACACACCTGCCTGCCCTACTAAGCAGTTCCAGGCGCCTGCTGCTGCTGCTGTAGCCGGGACAGAGCGATGGCAGCGAACGCGGGAGGAGGTGGACGGAGGAACAAGACGACGTCGAGGAAGAAGCACTTCGTGTCCCAGAAGATGAAGCTCTTCCGAGCGAGTGACCCCCTCTTCAGCGTCCTCATGTGGGGTGTCAACCACTCGGTAGGTGTACCTGGCTCCACTGCTAACCTGCGGTGGACAACCTCATTTACATTATAGAGGTGTTTTTGGGTTAGATCGCGTAAATATATAAATGTTGTGTCGTTAAACCCGCCACCACCCGACACGGCCAATTAGTAAGGTTTGCCACTTAAACAGAACGTGCCAATTAGTCACTCGTACAGCACACCGGTGTGTTGGAGAGTAAATCCACAACATTTACAATCTTGAGTCCGACGTAATAACGAATTGGCACGGTCTGTTTACGTGACAAACCTTACTAATTGGCTGTGTCGGGTGGTGGCGGGTTTAACGACACAACATTTATATTTACGTGATCTAACCCAAAAAAAAAAACCTCATGGATAATATTTGTCACGATTTCCTACTACTACTACGTGTTAAACTAACCTAATTTCCCCTAATCCAAGGGCCAAATAGGACTTCAAAAAGCCCGTACATGTACATTCGGCGGGCCCATACATTAACAAAAAGACAAAGATATCCCCTGCTATAGCATTAACAGACTGTTGGGGCAAATGTTGTTAGAGAGCACCTATGAAGGCCGGAACGGCACATGAGGGAGGTGGGTGGCCAGCACCACGCCCGGCCGCCTTTGTCTCCACAGTGGCGATGTTTACACACCGCAAACAGGCACTCACTCGAGGCCGAGTCGACCTAGGGGAGGCCCAGGACCGGTTCAGATAATCATCACTGGTGGCCGGGTTCATAGTGCAGCTGGCTAACCGCGCTACACTACCGCTCCCCCAACACACACACGGACACATTCACTCACCACTTCCCCGGTCTAAAATACAGAACTTCCCTCTAGTAGCCGTTAGTGCGGCTAATATGGCCGTGGACATGGCTCGCCGGTCGTTTATGTAGTGGCCACGGTGAGTCGTGTAGCCAGGGCCCGACATCCCGGTGGGGGCCAACATTGGCACGTGGTTAACACCGTTAGACCAAATGTAGGCCCAACGTTCCGCGTTTGCTGGGTGGTTATAGGCTCCCTTTCAGTTCCTCAAGCCGAGGTTGAACGGTGGAGGTGTGGCACCACGGTGGCTAGGAGATGTTAAATACCTCGCCTGGTATACAAGGAGGTCGTGGGTTCGAGCCCGACTCTGACGCCTGCTGTATATTTGGAGTTTGCGGTGTCTTTCTGCTTGTGCCCACGTGTATTTTTCTCCGGGTCCTCCGGGTTTCACCTCAATATTCATAAACGTGCGTTCACAATATTTGGCTGCTGTACATTTCCACGCGACAAGCCACTTCGTTGAGCTTTCATTTGTGATAGCCAGGTCGCCTCTGAAAAAGAGTTATCCAGCCCATTGGGGCCTTTTCTGGAAAAATAAAAATTGTTTTTAAAAAATGTTAAATAAAATTTCCGCGATTATGTTGCTGGGAATGCGTTTCTTACCGCCACCTCTTCCAAAACGACATTGGCCAGCATGGAGGAGTAGACCAAATACCCCTGTAGAGGAAGGCTCTCTAGGGCCCCCGCCAGTGGGAGGCCACTTCTGCCAGCAGTGCTGTGAGCTAGCTACTTCCATGGCTGTGCCTTTTACCTCCTTACAGCCAATCTGACAATTCCACGACTGCTATGGGACATTTTTAGCAGCATCAAAGTATGAAAAACTTATTCATGCAGCCTGTCTTCGCCAAGCAGAAGTGTTTCAATCGATGTCATAATTAACCTCATTAGATTTTTTTTAACTATTTGTATCTACGGTTAGACACTAACAACTACTGCCAAAAATGTGTGTATTTTTCCGCATAAAAACCCTCATTGTTGACGACTTTGATTCAACTTCTCATATTTAAAGACGTACTGACGGAAAAGCGCTCGATTTAAAGATTCCGTTTGTTTTATTAGAAAGAACAAAAAATAATGAACTTAACAATCTCTGAGCGGAAGCTCTCCTATCTTTTACCGTTGTCCGTTTTTTAACATTGGGAGCAACACTGGCGGGGGGGGGTGATAAAGTTACACGTGAGTTTACAACACGGAGATAACTTGTTAAAAACTCAACAATATAGTTCGGTTGCCAAACATATCGCGCGAAATATTTTTTTCGGCCAAGACAGAATTGTTGTAACGTTCTTGAGTGGACGCAAGGGACGCCACTTAAAAAAAAATTTGAATGTAGCGGCCACTAGCGGATGTGGAGGTCACGTGACCCATTGCCGCACATACGAATGGAGCAGCATGTATATTACCCAATTGCATGCCACGTACAGTATCAAGTTATCCCACGCTTGGGGATCAATGTTAAGCGATGGGTCGTTGGACCGAGGGCGTCATCTCTCACTCGGTTATATGGCTTGGAGCAAGGATTATTGTAAGACACTACCACCTGGAGTACCGCTTACACCTATCCACATTCCTATATTATTGTACTATATTATCCCACACTACGATGAACGGGTTTCGGAGAGGCTAAATACCTGAAACACCTCGACAGCACATCCGTCGATACCATTGCCTTGCAAGAAAATGTCGCACGTGAAGCAGAGGCCACTGCCGAAAACGTCGCCTAATTATATTTATATTATTTTTCCTTTTTTAAGGCCACAGTGTTATTGACAATTGTGACGAATGTTTTTTCGTGCTTGTGCTTTTGCCCCACCTGGCAACGCATCGGCACCACCACCACCACCAAGTATTAATTATTTTCAGGATAACATAAAGTCGTGATGTATGCGGCGTGGCCAAAGGAACTCTCGGAGCGGCGTTCTGGAATGTTCCGGCTGAAATTAAGTAAAGGTTACGACCCTTCTCACAAAAAACCACCCGCGATTTCCCCGTGGATGATCGCGGATCTTGACGTGAGGATGATCGAGTCTTTTTTTATTTTTGTGCGCGCGCGGATATCACCAGGTCACACCCGGAGGGGAGGGCGTGCTTAATTACTATTGTAATTGTGTCACGCGTAAGGAATTTCAATGACAAATGTCGTTGCGATTGCAGCTGACAGTGCTGCTCTGAATGTAAAGCGGCAACCAAAAAGAAAACTCGGGGCATTAGTCAACAACACTCTGGGCTTGAAAGGAAGCGGTCCAATAGGCGACGTTTCGGGCAACAACCCTTTTTCGCGGTGCTATGAAAAAGGATGTGTTTCCTGTCGAGGCCGCACAGTGGTATTGAGACTGAGTTGTGCTTGTGTACCTGCTGCAGCCCAGCGTAGAAGGGGTAGCAGCATCGGTGGCGAGATGTTAACTACCTCGCTTGGTATACAGGAGGTCGTGGGTTCAATCCCGGACCCTGACCCCTGCTGTATATTTGGTGCTTGAGATCACAATGCAGAGACTCCTCGACTTATGAACGAGTTAGGTTCCAGAGGTCTGTTCGTAAGTCGATTTGTTTAACGTCACTCCTGTCGGTTCCAAACATGTTGTACGGCATGGACGCTAAACACGGGGAATGGCTTTAAAAGTTGTATAATGTCCGGTAGATGTAGATACCACTGGTTCCTCGCGTCCTGCAGATGTACATGCCACCACCAACATATATTGCGCGGCGGTTGAACTTACGATTCTCAGTCCGAACAGGCAACTGGACATAGGGACAGGTTTGTTCGTTTCTCTGAAAGTTCGTGAGTCGAATGTTCGTAAGTAGAGGAGTCCCCGTAACGTATTCAAATTGAGCACCGCGCTCCCTGCGGTGGAGCTCCCGGCGTGATGTCCCAGCGAAGTTGACCGGCACGCCGCCACCCCGCCCCCGTTGTGTTGTCTGTGGCAGATCAACGAGCTGGCACACGTGCCCGCGCGCGTCATGCTGCTGCCCGACGACTTCAAGGCGCACACCAAGACCAAGGTGGACAACCACCTCTTCAACAAGTGAGTCCACCCTTGGTTGGGGGGGGGGTGGGGGAGGGCGGGCTTGGTATACGTGGGGGCGGTGGGGGGGGGGTTTTGTCCTATCTCAACACTTGAGAGGGGTCTGAATGTGACATCGTAGCATTCTTTGGGTCTTTCGGTAAAGTCACGTAGATAGAAAAAATAATGACAAAATAATAAAAAAAAATCACGACGTTTCGATCGCAACACAAGCAATCGTCATCAGGAGAAAGAAGAGTGGGGAAGCTGCTGAGGAGGCAGGCTGTTTTAAAGGTTTGAAATGGGTGTAGCCCAAGGGTCATAAACGAAGTGGGGCAGGGCTAGTGATGTTAAAGTGAGACATTTGCATGTCAATGTTCGATCGGAGAGAGAAATCGTAGCTGTTGCTCTGCATCTACATCAGCAGCCGTACGAAAGAAGAAGGCTGAGCGGGGTTGTCCCCCCCCCCCCACACGAAGGGGATGATAGGCGGCGGCGAGGTACGGGCAAGGACAGACAGAGGAGGTACAGAGAGAGTGCCACGGAGCTAGACAGAGACGGACACACACGGAGACGGACACACACACGCAGAATGTTCTATTCCTGTCCCACTCATTCTCCGCTCCAGAAACCCGAGGCTTTCTGTTTGAAGCATCCAGTCAATGTCTGCTCCGTGGGGGTGGGGGGGTCGCCTATTCTCCTCTGCTGCCGGAAGAATCGATTATTTGTCCGTCTAAATGTTTTGCTGTCCTCGCTTTGTCTCGTTTTTCACTTCCCTTGTCTTGTTTGTGCGATTTTATTTTTTCCACTTGCTCCGTTGGTCTAAACGCAACGGCAGGAAGTCGACCGCGCGTGATTTGCACGGGTAGCGAGCGGTCGATGCTTACGCGCATGATCCGATGGATAGCGAGATGGACCGGTGGCCGCATTTGAACCGCGAGCGATGGTCCACGGCATGGGGGATGCCTTCATCTAGCAGCAGATCAACAATGGCTGATGATGATCGCAGCCTTACGAATCTATTTAAATCGATGCATTGTTCCATGCTTGAATCATCACCCCGGTCAGATAACAGTGTAGTGTTGGTTTAAATCTATAAGTGTATTAGCTAATACTCTCATATGATATGAACTCCTTGATATGGCACCTTTATTTAATACCTACAGACCTGCCCGGTTATTGTATTACATTTCCATCTCTTGTGCTTTTAGGCATCTTTGCCAACACAGGGTGTGGTGGCTGTGATGACATAATCAGGATGATGATGATACCGTATTCTCCAGTTTATAAGAAACACCTTCTAACCCCCACCCTTCCCCCCGTATTTTAAAGCCAAAGTTTTTGTGGTACGTCTTACTTTCCGCGGAGTCTCATACCGGAGAATACGGTAATCGGGAGGATGATGATGGTGATGATGATCATGGGAGGAAAATTAATTACAGCAGCGGTGGGTCGATGCTGACGCTTGGTCTGCCGTGACAGCTGGGCGTTTGTGGCCGTGTGGCAGTACAGCAAGCAGGTTTGTGTGAGTGAACCACCGGTCGGTGCAGAGCGAGCTCGTTTGGGTGTGACCACCCTCTCGCGTGCGTGTCAGTTTGTACCATCGGACACTCCACCCCCACAACTCCCAATCGGTGATGGGGCAGTTGTGGAGAGAGTGGAGAGTTTCCCATACCTGGGCAGTGTGCTCATGACCGGCTCCGGTTTGACAGCAGAGGTCTCACTCCAAATCAGTCGAGCGGCATTATCTTTTCATCGGTTGCGTAACGCTGTGTGGAAGCTACCTGGTCTGTCGCTCCGCACGAAGCTTCAGGTCTTCTCGGCCACGGTCATTCCCTCCCTTCTCTACGCTTGCAAAACGTGGACCCCCCCTAATGGAACATCTTCGCTGGTTACAAACATTTAGGCTGGCCTGTCTACGATCCATCCTGGGTTTAACCAGGCTGGATTGTGTGAGGAGCTCACAAATCCTTGAAAGATCTGGACAAAGTCCCTTCGGTGAGCTCCTCCGGCAGGCAAGGTTGCGTTGGTTGGGCCATGTAGCCCGCATGCTCAGCCACCGCATGCCGAAACAGCTTTTGTTTGACCGGATCGAGGGGACAAAATGGGCGCGGCATGGGCTACAGAAGAGATGGAGTGATGTGGTACAGGAGGATGTGGAGCTGAGTGGACTTTGTCGATGACTGGTACCAGCGGTGTCAAGATCGGCCTCTGTCGGAAGCTCGTGAAGGACGCCGCTACTGGGCAGTTGGAGGCAGTCGCCCTCCAACAAAAACGGAGGGCGGAGGAGCGACGCTCACAACAACGGGCAGAGCGCCGGGTGGCTAAAACACAGCAAGTTGTCACATTAGGGGGCACAGGTGGTGCATCAGCCAGTCATCTCAGTCAGTCAACCCGTGGTACCTGGGTCTGTCCCGTGACCTCGTGCTAGCGGGCGTTTAACACTTCACGTGGCCTCAACGTGCACATAGCCTGGCACAAGCGTCGTGGTGACGTCACCGCCTCTTAGTGGCGAATGGCGGTTGTTGTATATGTTTGGCTTTGTGTCTATGTGTGTGGTTATATGTTTGGCTGTGTCTGTGTGTGTGTGTGCACAATGATAACGAACAGTTTTCGCTTCTCAGCACATTAGCATCACAGCTCTCAGAATTATTTACAGATGCCCCCCCCCCCCCCCCCAAAATCCCCTCTTATCGGTGACCGTGGCATCCATGTGGCACAATGAGCCAGCTCACTACCGCTCTGAAGCCAACAACCTGAGTTCGATTCCCAGCCACGGCTGAACCGGTCCTGGGGCCCCCCAAGTGTGGTGAAGTATGGTCAAACCCACCCCCCTTACGACCACCGAAACGGTACAGGGAGACCTTCGTCCGGCCGTGCCGCGCTCTTTATTGTAATAATCACTGTCGACGCACTCAGACTCGGTGTTATTTTCAACACCCATTAGTTCAGTAAACGGGCAATTATGTTTTATTGCGCGCGTTCTAAACAAAAGACCGTTCCGAATGGAACGTGTCGGCTTGAAATTGCATCTTATTGCCGCTTGTCAGCTCTTTGTGTTCCCCCCCCCCCCCGAACACTTGTGAAGTTATTTATTTATGTTAAACCCACCATTAACCACGGGGCGGTTCTCGACGAGAAACTTTTTAACGACGGGCAGCAGCTCTGTTCCAAAGACACCGCCACGCCGTGTCGTCGCTCGGCTGGAGTTTTCTCGTTCTGCCACCGTGCGATTCCTGGCAGCGTGTCATTAGCGGCTGGGGGGGGGGGGCGGGCGGGGGGGGGGGGGAGTATTTGGGCAGCACGATCCAAGACGGGGTGGCCGCCTCCACCTCCCACGCAGCATCGCCTTCGGAGGGATTCCGCTCGAATGTCTCCAGTCGAACACGGGAGTAGCAGCGGTAGTCGGCTCTTCGCGACCAATATTATTCAGAATAAATGGTTTTTTTGTTGGGTTAAATCGCGTGATTTAACGAACGTGTCGTGAACCCGCCGCCACCCGAGCACAGCCGATGTCGGCAAGGGTTTGTCGCGAACACAAAACGCGCCGAACAGTTACTCGCTTCGGCGTGTTGAAGTGTAAAACCCGCAAACGTCTACAGTTGGAGTGCCGCGACGTTTCGCCGGCGATGGCTACAACAGCAGCAACGACGGCAACAAGCGTTCTTCATTGGGCGATTAGCCATGAATTGTGAATAAGTCTTCCCGTGGGTCGCATCCCCCCCCGCCCCCCCACCGCATGGGTCTGGTTGAGAGCAGAGCTTGCCAGACCGCGCATTGCGAACATCCAGCCGCCCTGCTGCAACCACGCTGCGGAAGGGTTGCATAAAGGGCCCCATTACTCAACTTCGTCGATTTGGTTGGCTTCGTTATTTATTTTACACTGTATGTGGGTGTGTTTGTATTAATTCCTCGGTGCGTTGCTGCACAGCTGTCGGTGTGTGTGTCTGTGTAGGTCGACTCGCGCTCAGATGAGTACCCGGCACGGTGTGTAAGCACCGCCACGAGTGAGACAAAGGCGGCCGGGCGTGGTGCTGGCCACCCACTCCCTCGTGTGCTGTGTCAGCCTTCATAGGTGCTGCTCGCGAACAGCATTTGTGCGTACTCGCCTGCGTGCGTGTGTGCACGAGTGTGCGTAAGTTAGTGCGGCTCGCTCGCGTGCGCGTGTCTGTGCGCGTGTCTGTGCGCGTGAGCCGTTGATGAACCAGGCAGGCAGGAATTCCTCCGCTTACGAGTCAGAGCACGGGTGCGGGAAAGTTGCTTCTGAATGCGGCCATCACAGCTGCCTGGGGGTGGCGGGGTGAGGGATGGGAGCAGTGGCTGTGGGGGGTGGTGGGGAGGCCAGATCAGCACCCCCTAAACGCGACCCGGTCACAACAACTGGCAAACCTCTTGCACAACACGACACACTTTCCCCGTATAGCCTGAGCAGGCTGTTGGGGCAGGTGCTGTTAGCGAGCACCTCATGAAGGCCGGCACGGCACACGGGAGGGTGGGTGGCCAGCACCACCTCCGGCCGCCTTTGTCTCCCTTGCAGCGATGCTTACACATCGCTCGCAGCACACACAACTGCACAATTGTACTACCCAGCCTATGACTGAATCACCACCGCACATGCGCCCCATCTCACCGGATCTCTAAGCAGGGTGTGAGTCTGGATAATGCTCGGATGGGTGATGACCGGGGGGGCTTACCAGGTGTTGTAGGTTTCGTGAGGCTTTCGCGGGTAAATAATTGCCATTGTTATTATGATCACGACTGGGCTGAATGGGGCCTATATCCAGTGCTCAAATGTCAGCCTTCATTGGCCCAGGAAAACCTCGCCGAGTCTCAAGACTCTTTTGCAGTGGCGAGATGTTAACTACCTCGCCTGGTATACAGGAGGTTGTGGGTTCGATCTCAACCCTGACACCTGTATATTTGAAGTTTGCGTGTTTTCCCCGTGGTCACGTGGATTTTTGCCTCGGTCCTCCGGGTTTTTCCCTCCACGTTTATAATCAACACCCGTTTATAGTATTTGG